ACTGCGTGATACTGACAATTTAGTTGTGGCTAAGGCTTCTGGGTGAAACAACCACCCTGCTCTGGGGAGCATCTGTGTACTTTGCAAATAGTATGGAAATCAGCCTGTTACATTATTCAATCGTTGTTGCAGTGTTTTATCCTTCGGGGGACAATGAATATCAACAGCAAATCTCATGCCAATTCTACCCTGAGTTAGTATTTTAGTGGAATAAGTTGATCTCGCATTAAAGCGGTTTTCAACATGGAACATGAAACAAAAATTAGAGCTGGGAAGATTGCATGCAAAGGAAAGACACAAACACATTTGCTCCAGGTGGTGCAAATTGAGTGTGTGTCATAGTTTAGGCAAGTTGCGACACATACACATGAGTATCAGCTTGGATACATGGACAGTGGCCAATGTGTTGGCCAATGTTCAGGAAGTATTACGGTAATTTTTGTAGATTTTGAAAAGACATAATGTGTCGACATGAAGCCCAGCAATCAGCAGACTGTAACTGCAAGACTTTGGACTTTATTGATTTGTCAAGCTGAAATCCAAACAATTGGAGATCAAAATGGTCTGGAGGCATGTAGATTTTTAATTTAATCATTATTTTAACAGAATGAAATGAGTATCTTATCACTGGCTCCAAAATGTCAACAGAACTGTCAGACTAATTATTGTTAATTAGTAATCCTGGTGTGTTTTTACATAAGGGGATTTGGGTAATCACTTTATTGCACGTTTGAGCTATTATTTTCTTAAACTGGGGACTTACTTACCTAGAGTCTATAAATGAATGAAAATACGTTGCTAAATACAAAATTTGGTCTATAAATATGTGCTAAAAAGGAAATGTGTAGATGCATCAGTACTGCATCCGGGCTCTCCTTTCCTCTGATTTCTACCTTCTGCAAGCCAGAACCTCACTGCAACAAGTTTTGTTTATTGTCTTGTTTATTTGGTGGAAATGATGACAGGCAGATTGAGGCATTTACTCATCTTTCAACATTTTTATTAAGCCAATTTCATGTAATAGAAGACAGATTAACTCCAAAACAAGCTGACAGACACAGATGGCCCTGAAAATGGATGTATCAAAAGGACCTTATAACGTTGTTATGACTAACGTGTCAGCATACAGCTGCCTCCTTGGAGTTTTTTTTTTTTTCTTGCCACATGACAAATGTTAAGTCCATTATTCACTTCTAACTCCTGAGAATAATGTATTAAAGAGCCTTGTTAGATGTCCGTTGGGAACTGTGTGTGCTGTCTGATCAGCAGTGGGTTTAGTTTGTCTTGTTTGCTGAAAATCGCTGCCTGCTGCAGCTGGAAGCTAGTTTGGTGAGAATGGTAAAACCAAACCACACAATAAATGTGGCTGCTCTGAAACCAAAGCAATGAGCTATAAATGGTGAAATAGCTCTGTCGACCTCTGCTTCATGAGTAGGTGATAGTGTCCTGGCCATTATGCATGACTCCTTTTGAAATGAGTCATTTGAGTTGGTGTGAATGAAAATAACTAATTAATGCTTTATTTAATGAAACTGTTCTAAAGTTTTGTTTTTACAAGATCTGGTGTATGTCTGAAATCCTGTAACAGGACCTCGAACAAGGATCTGGTTGTCAGCTTAATCTCTGTTTTATATCAGGGTATTATGGAGGTGCTAAATATTAAACTTCACCATGGCAACAAGACTTATGCTCAGTGCCATGTTAATTGATCACTTATATCCCTCACTGGTGAAACGGATAATGAAATGACTAGAATGTTTTTTTTTTAATGGATGATTATTTGAACACTGTATCTCTTTTTTCTTTTGGTGGTTAGTGGCAATTATACATACTGTACAATAATACATCCTGTGCTGTCCTGATACACACAACGGACAATGTGGAGCAGTTTTTATTAACGTTGTGCATCAAGACACCTCATTGTGAATGGTCCCTTAAACCTAAAGTATGTTTAGTTTCTTGTTTTTGTGCAGGAAGGCTTATTGAAAAACATCCAATTTTGTCCAAAATATATATTTTAGCTTCCGGTCAACAGTGATTTCTTGCAGCTGTTTTGTTTAAATCATCTCACATGTCAGTAAGATAGAATTTCTATTGTTTATATGTAGTTGTAGCCTTTCAAAGTGAGATGTAGACACTCTTAGTGAAAAATGCTTTAATTAAAAACGTTAGCATGCTAGCAGTGCTAACTAGTCATTATTTCTAACTGCCACCTTGTTAGAGAACAATCCAAGTGCAGACCACGCCTCGGGATCCCAGGTCAGCGTCCCAATGGAAAGAGCAAAGGGTTCATTCTTAATAACATTCAGGATCTACAATCATTAATGTAATGTTATTTGTTAGGTAACCTTAACAGCCAAGGGCCAATCCCAAAAGCTAGCTAAATGTCTTTTCTCTTAGTGTGTCAAGTGTGAAGGTATGAGGAGATGTGTGTGTCATGTTGAATAAGCCAAAGAAATCCAAGGCTAAACTGGTTGATGTTAGCTAAAGTACAGGTAATGTTATCTTGTGGGACATGGTAACATGTTAATTCAGGACTAGAAGACCTATATTCTAGACTATTTGTAAGATTAAACATTGCAACATGGAGAACCAACTGAAAAAGCGAACGTTAAGTTGCCAGTGACCCGCTTAGACCGATGGGTATAAGAGGTAGCCTATATATTCGACATAATGTATCAGACCTGACACTCATTAAAGACATTTTAAATCACGTTGACTAAAATACACAATCTACCGGAAATTACAACACATTAGGCCGATAATGTTAGACTGAATGACCAAATAAAGATGGTCAGCATATGTGGATAAATCCCTATATTTACAAAATATTGTCAGTTTAGTTTAATATCTAGTTTGGCCTCCGAAAAGTGTTGTTGTTGGTAGTTACAGTGTTTTTCAGCTCCTGATGCTACAGTGCCTCCTTCCTCATAGTTGTTTGCTTTTGATTGGAAGGTGATATAGATGTATCCTAGCAACAACTTACACATGAAGTCTTTTGTATTGTCTTCTAGGTTTTACTGGCACAATCCGATTATTAGTAAATCACTAGTTTGAAACTAGCAAGTATTTGTTAAGAAGTTAGGAAGGTTTTTTCACACTAATAGATAGAAACTAATAGATGACGTATTGGATCTAGGAAAAGCTGGTGCAACCCAATCCAGGGGTCACCATAGGAGAGAGGTCTGGAGTTGGGTGCTCTTGCTTGGTTTATTTAATAAGAACAGAATCAACAAAAAAGACCGTTCACATGGCGGTATTTGTGTTTGCTCATTATCGTCTGTGCTATATGTTGTGGCTTTATCATCCTGGATACTGGTGCTATGGCTCAAAGATGAACAGATAACAAGTGTGTTTCTGTGTCCCATTACTCCTTGTTTGTTTTTCTGTTGTTGCTTTAGCTCTTCTTGAAATCCCTCAAATTATTGTGTGTCCATCCTGTGTACAGTCCTACAGTCTGGCTTACTGACTTATGATCAGATAAAGGGCTATCTGGTTGCATAAGTTAGCATAATGCTGTTCTAGTTTTTCGCATTTGTGTTAAAATCATACTTTTCATATGGCAGAAATACCTAATCTTTGAAAATACCATTTCAAAATACATGATTTAGACAAGAGTGTACAAGGCATTCGCTTGTGGGGTTGAATACTGATTGTGTGCTTTATAATGTGTATGACATACAGTATAGCAAATACTGTATATTGATGTCATGATTAGCATATCTAGACTATGGTGACTCTGAATCTGTGTGTGTTTTCCTATATGTCATAGTCATAGTGTGTAAGGACAGCCGCCCCCATAGCAAGACTAATAATCCTTTGCTAGACGTGCCTCAGTGGAGCCTGTGACCTTGCATTGCTCGGATTCCTCTGTTTGAATAAGTAGTGCCCCCACGTGAGACTTTACGGGCTATAATTCAAGGCACTGTGTCTGCAAAACCCTGTTTTATCTGCACGCTGACTGAATGATGTGACACTCCAATGTCTCTAAAGTTATTGATTCTTTGGCCCACTGAACAACTCGATGAAACTGCAGTACGATAAGTGTGAACTTTCTACTGACGTGATGTGATCTTGTGTTTACTTTTGGTTTGTTACGTAACATCTGCAGCTTTTCATTTCAAGCAAACGGTAACACGAAACAGAATTAGTTACAGCTAGTCTTATAATGATGACCCTGTTCAAATGTAATCAATGTTTGTGTTTACAGACAGCACGTTTTTTATCTCCGCCTCTCAGGTGCATTATGAGAAAAGGGGTAATTATCTGAACTGGAATGCGTCACAGATTTACTATGTATGACCAACAGAGGACCATACCTGGTCAGTCTGTAACTCTCACATGACCGCCACTGCTCTCTCCCACACTGTATTGACACAGTTTTCAGGAATGTTAAGACTCAACAAACAGCCTTTCGAAACTGAAATGTGTTTGTCATAGTCACACTGAAAAAGAAAATCCTTGCACACCAAGTGATGTTCACCATCGCACGGGGTGTTGCCACTTCACTGAAAATAACATACTGTACACTATAAAACCATTTTAACACAACATACACTGTAAAACACAGTGTCGGCGCTTCCAGAAACTGTGGTCTCTATCTTGCATCTTATTATCAGTCTCTCTCACATGTCTGTTCATTCACTGCCATTTCTTCAGGCTCAATGAGTAAATCTGTCCATTTGGTTGTCTTGTGACTTGTTTGCAAAGTGGACTTGAGCTCTTTCATGTAATAGCCCCACTGCTTTTTAAAACCTGAGGAAGAAAGGATTCCTTTCATGCTGTCTGGTGCACTTTGATTTTCAATCAGGTTATTGTCTGAGATAGCAGAAACAATTTTAAGGATATTTTTTTTAAAAGGCCCACACATGCACACCATTCCCAGTCATCTCTCTAAAGTGTTCATTTGTCTGGCTGTGCCAAATCAATAGTCACTCTGTTTTTTTTACTAAATCTGAAGCAACTGTGAGAATAATTTACATGTTCTTATCCTACTACAGGGTGTCGACCAAAAGCAAAGCACCATCCCCGCCAGGACTAAAGAAGCTGGATTCTCCAGGTTTCTCCCAGTGGTACCCAGGAAACCCTCATTTAACCATGGACCAGAAGGAAAACCTTATTGATAAAGACCTCTCGCTGGTTGTGGTTCTGCCTGGCGGAGAAGAAAAGATGACCACAGTCCATGGAAGGTACAGTTTAGACCACTGTATCTAAATGAGTAATTATGATGTGTCAAGTTTAAAAGCATTCAGTTACAAATGAAGGATGATTATGTTTGTAATTTGAGCAGGAACACCATTGTGTGTTTGTCCATGCTGAACATTTCAATAATACATCTAAACATTACATCATGAGACTGATATCAGATTAAGTCATCAAATAAAGTTCACTTCCAGTTAGACTGAGTCAGATAGGTGGAGTAGCTGAATGGGTGGTTTTAGTTAATATTTGTATTAGGAGCAAAATTGATTGTCTTCATTTTTATTCATCCATCAAAGTAAGGGTTGATGACTTTTGATTCTCAAACTCTGTACATTATCACTTGATTGCATGCTACAGTGCTTTGAGGACACATATCAGTCTTACTGTTAGCTACTTTAGCTATGACTGCAGAGCCTAATCAGATCAACATGTCAACTTATCTCTATGTCAAAGTTTTTTGTAACAAGGGCTGCGTGTCCTTTGGTGAGTCTACTCACTCGCACAGCTCAGACTTTCCATCAACAGAGTTTACTCAAGATATCATTATCTTTCTCACAATGCACACATTTTATAAACATTCTTTCCTGGGTGTCTTTTGCACCTTGGCCTCTTGGGAAATTACTGAGACCAATCCATTATGAAAGGATTAAGCACTGAATTCTTTACCTTCTTTTCTCCTTCTAAACCTGGTCTAAGTGCCTGCACAACAGAGTTAATGCTAATGTTAATGTTTTGAGGATTAAGTTTAAGGCATTATGTTTAGAGTGTATTATCAGTGTCAGGAAAGCTTTGTGCAGCTTCTGTTGCTACTGTACATTTGCTTTGTCTTGCTTCCGCAGCTTCTGTCAATTTTAACTTTAAATTTTAAATCAATGAATGTACAAGGCTACGAAATCAGCAGTTTTAATCACTGGATGAAAAAAATAATGGAACAAAGTTGAATGAATATGATTTATGAATGGAAAAATAACAAGAGGTTGCTGATGATATTGTGCTAGCCTTTATTTAACTAAAATGCAACTTGGATACTTTTTATTAGTTTGGGTTCCCTATCATTATTAATGATTTAAAAAATGTGTGGAGGTGTGAACTTTTTTCAGCTTCTGAAGGGGGCCATGCTAGAAAAGTTTGAGAGCTACAGGGTTTATTCTATTAGTTGATCTACAGAATATTTATTAGCATTAATATTTTGATAATTGTTTAATTGCTGAAGTCATTTTTTAAATTCAAAATGCTAAACATTCTCTGCTTCCAGCTCCTCAAATATGATGAATTTCTGCTTTTCCCGGTTTTAAATGATTATAAAACAAGGCATTTAAAGACCTTGAACTCTGGGAAACTGGGATTGACATTTTTCACTGTTTTCTGACATTTTGTAGACATTTTAGTGATGAATCTATTAATTGAGAAAAATGAGTAGCTACTATCCTCAAATCGTAGCATAGAATTAATTGATAAGTGAGGCTGGTTTCCTGCCTATTTTTTGATGAGACATCAAATCATTCCTATTCTTCTTTGATTTCAGAATTGCTCTGATCAGAATGCTTTATTTTACATTGTGTAATTGATGTAATCGTGTCTCCCCTCTTATACTTAATAAATAATTTTCACTTGTTTAATCGTGTCTTTCAGCAAACCCCTAATGGATCTGTTAGTGACGCTTTGTGCAACGTATCACCTGAATCCATCGAGCCACACCCTAGAACTGGTAACCACTAACAAGAAGAACACCAAACTCAAGCCCAATGCTCTCATAGGAACTTTGGATGCAGAGAAGATCATACTTAAGCCGAAAGGGGAGGATAAAAATAAGAAGACAGGTCCTCAGATGCCTGAGGTACATTAAATACATGACACCATGCTGGCACAGACACCACACTATTAGCTGTTCATGTTGAGTAAACAGATTCTTATCAAAGTGGCACATTTTGTTTTCTCTCCAGGCAACTGTTCGGATGGTGATAAACTACAAAAAGACCCAGAAAACTATACTCCGAGTCAATCCTCGAGTTCCCCTGGCTGAACACTTACCAGCCATCTGTGAGAAATGTGAATTTGACATAGAGACTACAGTTCTGTTGAGAGATGTCCAGTCACTGGCCCCTTTGAACTTGTCCAACTCTCTTAATGATTATGCAATAAGGGAGGTTTATGCAAGAGACACAAAAGGTAAGAGCTAATGTATTCAGAAAGCCAAACTGCTGCTTATGCCAGAGATTTAGCAGATTTAGCATGTTAACCTAAATTGAATGTTTGCTTTGCAGGACGAACTGCTTCTCCTGTGTGTCCCGCCTCACCAACTCATGCAGGTATTTTTCGGTTTGTAGACTGTGTGATTGATATCAACAGAGCTGTGAGATTTCTCACCCATTGTTATCTTACAGTGGAGTGGTTTTTTTTTTTTTTTTTTCTTCAGGAACAGTCATGCCAGGAAAAGACAAAACTCAGAAAGAGGAAGAAAACAAAGGCCTCTTCAGCAAGTTTAGAAAAAGCAAAAAAAAATCTGACCAGGTAATGCAGTATTTCTCATGTACTGATTATACAAAGATACATATGTGTCAGAAAGTAACTTAAATGTTCAGAGGGAGGTTTGTTTACTTTGGTTTGCCATTGGTTGACGTGCACTATGTTGTTTGAGAACAGGCCTCTTATCATGTTCTGATTGGGTATTTGTTCTTTAAAGGCAACGACGGCCAGTGCCCCAGCTTCTCCTGTGCTTGTGAGCAAGCCTCGACCACTCAGCATGGCCTTACCTAGCTCAAATTCGTCTCCGCTCAGCTCCCCTACCATACCCACCGATGCACCAAAGAAGAGACGTGCACCCCAACCCCCAATCCTTGTGTCTCAGAGCTGCCCCACGGACCTCAGCGAACGCCGGAGACTAAACTCTGAACCTAACACCCAACTGGACAGTGACCAGGTGAGTGGGCTGAATGTTAAGGCAGAAGCTCTCACATTTCAGTATAGTCCCGAACACTTGGCTATACTAGTAGCTATATGTTTTCTATGTCAAGGTGCATTGATATATAACTTAATTTAATCTTTTCATGTACAATAGATGGTTGGTTTAAGTCGTGGGTCCTCAGCAGAGTCTTCACTGAAGAGAACCAAACGCAAAGCTCCTCCACCCCCCACAACCCCTAGTGCCCCTGTCCAAGAAACGGTTCCCCTGGATGAAAATTTGCAAGGTTTGTCTATCTTTACATTTGTGAATGTTCTTGGCCCCTCAGTGGGACTGCTAGGCCTTTTTTTTTTTAAATCTTACATTTAGATTGTTTAACTGTTTAGCACACTGCCTCTTGTGTAAAGTCTTGTCATATGTACTTTGGCCTCAGGTCTTTTCAAACTCTGCACCAAGAGTCTACAGTTTTTATTTGATTTGACTCTTGTGCCCCCTAGTGGTCATGATTGAACAGTGGCCCATTTTACAAACAAATGTGTGTTGAGAGAACATACAGTTGTCAAGAAGCAAAGTTTTGCTACATTCCAAATTATTGTTGGTTCTGAATTCCCTGGTATTTTTCCTTGGTTGACTATAGTTAACTCGCTTTGATATACTTTCCTGTGATTGTGTAGACACATCTGACCCTCACTGTATTGGCTGTGAGGGAAACTCCACCCGTCCTCATACAAAGCAATTCAAAGCAAAAACAAAGAATATTTCCCCTAAAAAACTTAACTGAGGTCTGATAAATAAACAATCTACTTTGGCTTACATAAGTATTAACCTTTTTATCTTTAAGGGGTAAGATCACACAAATTACAAAGTATCTACAAAGTTTTTCACTTTCCATTGTTGGCACCATTTATAGTAGTTGTTGTTTTGTTTGCTGAGATTCCGACATCTCTGCTGCCACCCTGATTTGTTTTGATGTGCTAAAAGTACTGAACTTGTTACTCAGGACAATCCACAGACCTTGCTGTCAGGATAGTGTATTATTATAGTTTTGTATTTTTATTTAGTTTTTATTTTTTGTTTTCAATTCAGCTTAGTTTCACTTAGTTTCCAGAGTGGGTTTGCTCTTTTCAGTTTTTATTGTTTAAAAAAGTTTTGTTTTTATTAGTTGCAGTCAAGGGCAAGATTTAAAAAGTTCAGAATAGGTATTACAATACAAACACTGTGGGAGGCAGTTGACTCACAGTCATGTAGACATCCCAGTCTCAATAAACATATGCACCAATGCCTCCTCATCTTTTATTTTATTTTAGTCAGTTTTGTAAGTACACAATATCGTTTCAGTTAGTTTGAGTTTTTATTTCTATTTCAGTTAATTAAAAAGTTTGTTTCACACCTAGTTTTAGTTAACTATAATAACCTTGGTCTGTAATAAGATCTTCCTTATGAGTTTTTTGTACCACAAACAACTTCACTTCACTCCATCAAGTTTCTTCTGATTAGACATTGAAAATGTGTGTCCTGTAAATCCCACATGCACCCCAAAACGATAGTCTTTTTTTTCTTGTTTTCTTTACATATTTGTACTTTTTGTTGCATCAGAATATCTTACAACTCCTTTGTTGCATAGTCCTTTCACTAGCAGCATATCTCTCAGCCCTCATAGAAAGGGCAATCAGACTTCTTTTCTACAACAGCTGTCTACCTGTGAACACCACCATTTCCGTCCCTCTCTTTGCTCCTATTCTTCAAGTACAGGTTTACAGAGAAAGATCACTTCCTCTGCTGTTTCCCTAAAAGCCCAGTGCTGCACAGTAGATATAGAGATCAGAGGCTGAAATCAGCAGTTTTGTTTAAGTAGCCTTGAAATTCCTTTTGCCCTCTGCTCTTCTGGGATGCACTTCCTAGTGCTAAATTAAGAACTACACAATAGAAACAGAGATGTAGAAGATTAAGTGGAATTCATTAATCAGAAGAACCTTTTTATTGGAAAGGGTAAATATCTGTATCTATGAGATAAATATAGTTTGATACTTGGTTTCTTATGCATATGGTGGCAAAACACAATCATTTATAATAATAATTACAGCCAAGACACGCCCTTGTGAAAAAAGTTATAATGTATTGTTGGATACTCCAGTGATCATGTAGCAACATTTTATTTATAACTCATAACTTCTTTATGATACTGTTTTACAGGGGGTGCAGTTACTAACACACTGGAGGAGATTATGGAGCAAGAGGAGACCACTGCCTCTCTAATGTCTGCAACCGCTAGTGATACCCAGGGAGAGGACAGCAGCCTCAACATGTCTGCTGATGTTTCACTGCATTCCCCATCCCCAGACACTGATGTGCTGAGCACAATGTCTGTTGAGTGCAATGGGGAAGATCATTCTCATGATCTGTCCTCAGATGGCAAGTACGAACTCTAGTATGACTTCTTAAGCCTGAGCCACGTTTTTCATTCCATTAGTGTTAGCAACACTTTTAATTCTCTCTCTTTGCTTTATTTTTACAGTCAACTGCAGAGCACAGTGAACGATTCTGCAACTCTGACTGATGTCTGGACGACTGATGGCACAGACCAGTCTGAGATGGCAGATACTAGTGAGTTTGCACTTGGATTATAGTGGTATTGTTCATATCTGCTGCAGATACCTTGAAAAAATACCCTACTAATATTTTTCTACAACTTGGCCTTAATATGCCATGTGATGCGATTTTGCCTCTCAAAGAAAGTCAACACAGTTGTCTTACATGAGAAATTATATTTTCTGTACAGACGGTGGTCCATGTCAAGCTGAAAATGTAAGCCAACAGCCCATGTGTGAAGAGTCTACACCTGAGAGTGTTGAAGGTGATTGCAGTACTGTACCCAGCAGCCTCCCTCTGCCTGTGATGCAGGATGCAGAAGCACAGGCCTCTGTTCAGTCAAACACTGAAACCCTCTGGGAGCAAACTGACAGATTGGAGAGCCCAGTGGCCACCAGCCCCTCACACCCCACTGGGGAGGATGCTCAAGTGCAAACAGATTTCACACCATTACCTGTGCCTCCAGAGCAGCACATGGACATAGAAGTTCCTTCCACAGTTAATGCGCCCGCCTTTGAATCAGCGGGTAAGATAGATATGGCCACTCTGACGGAGGAACTGGACACGCCTGACCTCAAGCATGCCTTATCCCACACCTCAGAGACCTCATCATGCCAAGACTCAACACCAAGTGCCCCTGCCACAACAAAGGCATCATCTATTTATGCTACAAACTCTGAGCCAAAGCCCAAGCCTTCCAATGAGCTGACAAGGGACTACATCCCCAAGGTGGGGATGACAACGTATACTATCGTGCCTCAGAAATCCCTGGAGAAACTTAGATATTTTGAAGTTGCACTGACACTGGAGACGCCTCTTGCAGCTCCAGAAGAGGGACTTAATGTTGGTTCTCTTCAGCTGGTGGAGAGCACAGTACCAAAGGAACAGACAGAGGTGTCAAAGGAAAAAAGTGAGCTGCACTCTACTACACCCAGGGAAGACTTACTGACTAGCACTACTACTACTACTACTACCCAAGACACTGTTAATGGAACTATACCTGAATCTATTCAATCCTCATCACCAACAAGTTCGCCTAAAGCAGATGACAGGATCTCATCCTCGGCTGATGGGGCATCTCAAGCAGGTTCACCAGCTGAGGTCAAGGAGATGAAAATTCCACCCGCAACTAAACCTAAGCCTGGTTCTTTCCGCTTGGCACAGCACAAAAAAAAACCTGGGTATTATGTAACTTCAGCAGCAGAAAAGAGCCTCAGTGCCACTACTGGCTCTAGCCAGAGGGAAGCTCAAGGAAGTGCAGACAGAGCACAGTTACCACCCCCTCCTCTTCCTCCTCCCATGCAGTGTAAAGAGGAGACGACAGGGGCCACTAATGTTGAGCTGAGCCCTAAAGGGGATGACAAGAATGTAGCCATCATGCGAATGACTAGGCAAAGTAGTTTGCCATGTAGAGAGCCAAGCTCAGGGTTAAGCTTGGAAAAATTAAGGAGCTTTGCAGCCCCTAGGCCCTATTCTCCTGCCACCCCATCCCGCTTCGCCCAGGCAGTGTCCTCTGCTGTGAAAAGAAGCCAGTCCTTATCCCACAGGCCAAAGTCGCCTCATTCGCCTGTTTCACCACTCCTCTCCCCAACTGCAAGTCACTCATCAGTCATAGAGTCGAAAGGATTATCTAAGATCAAGGTAAGTTCAGATAGCTGAGCATACTTGTATTGAAATATCTAAATATAGATAAAAGCAGCAAAGGACTTTTATGCTCATGAGACCACTGTCACTCATGATATATTAAGGCTTGAGTAGAGGAGTACTCTGCAATGCTGATCAAAGCACTTTTTTGATTGGTTTTGATTCCACTAATATATCTCTCTTAACAGAGTTATGTAGGAGTGGACAAGAGTGTGACATATCCCACTACTGCTTTAGTTTGTTTGAAACTTAAACCATTTTTAGGTCATCTGTCTGGTAATGTATCAGCCATTTACACTGTGACCAGTGCAGAGTTACTGACTTTCATGAACATTATAAAATCTAATATAGTTAAAATAAAATAGTTCCTCTGATCCATTGACTTGAATCACTCCAGGGTTTAATATAAACTACCTGCTGTATTACTAGTCTCTTTAAAGGCAACAGCATTTGGCATTCAGTGTTTAATGGGGATCTGAGGTGGTTGTTGAGTCAAAGAGGAAATGGGGGGTTACTATCCACTGACAATAAATAACAATAAACAATAATTCATTTTCTTAAATTATGGCAAATCTGTGACCGTGTCTGTCACAGCTGGTATGCAATATACAGTACAGATCATAACACAAACACACATCAATAATTAATAATAGACCAACATATACAGTAACAAAGCAGTCTTTTTTCCACACCTAAAATAAAAATGCCATATACAACAGGACTTTTGTGAGTTTTTCAAGATGTTGTTTTATTAGTTACCACACTCAGATATTTCTGACAATGATACATTGCCTGTAAATACTGAATAAAGGATTTCAGGACCAACTCTCTTGCATGGCATGCACATCAACGTAAACCACAGGAAAATACTGAAAAATACTCTCAGTGAAATACTTCTTAACATTCTCAAGTGCAAAGGTGACTATGTGGTTTGTGCGCAGGTCAGGAAATAGTCCACATAGTCCAAACAAAAGAAGAGAATTGTTGAGTCAAGATAGAAAGCAGAGTCTCATGCTTTATTGCTGTGCTTTATTTCTCCTTATACTGGGTTGCATAAGGGCTTAATACTGTATAGGGAAAGACACAAATATAGGTTTAATTCACTTTTCTTGGACTCAATACATTGTTTTAAAATAAGTATAGTTTTCTTCTTGCCTTTTAATGTTTGTTTAATGTCTGGCACCATATTCAGTGATTGCATACATTGTGTCTCTTTTTGTAACGTCACAGGACGGTCAGAATAAAGAGATGGATAGCGACGAAGGCTCCACTCTGCAGCGAGTAGAGGATGAACCACAATCTTTTAGTGCGACTGTTCAAATGGAAGGAGAGAGCAGTCCATAGCACTGCCTTAATTCTTCTGACAATATGTCATCTACTGTAAGCAAAATCCAACGCATTGCAATATTTTATCATATATAAATGTATCCACAACAGATGCATGAACCATTGTATTTTTTTTTTCTTCCAGGAGGAGCTTATCCTGTCTACTTTGAGTTCTCTAGAACCCGTTATCCCAGGACACAGAAGCAGAAACTGTCTTTTGTTTTACCTCTTTTGGTAGTCTCCAACAGTGTACATAAAATGATGTATTTTGATAATTAATAATTGCTGTATTTTGGTTTATTTTCTCAATTGTCATTAAGTAATCTTCCCAGCTGACCTGCATATCTTAATGCTTCTCTTTTATTTCGTGTGATGACTATCTTCTTGCATTTAATGCATTACTGTTGTGAGTGAACAAGAACATTAAATGAGAACAATTATATAAATTATTAGACTGATTTCCACAGTTGTAATATTATTGGGTTTATGAATAATACTGGATGTGTAGGACAGACCAGGTCTGACCTATGGTACTTAAATGCCCCTTAGATTATATATCAAATCTATATTTAAGTATTACAGAGTTTTGATTAAGCTGTATGCAGAAATACACTGATGTGCGCAGTACACCTGTCATTGTCAAGCAGTGTTGTTATGAATAAAGCTTCTATCATTTCAGTTGTGTTTTATTAAAGTCACTGCCTTCAGTGGGTGCAGAAGTTATGCCCCCCCCCCCCACCAGTTTGAATACAGCGTGTTTTTCACAACGGGTAAAACGTGAGCGCACTTTGTGACGTAAATCACGTTACAGTAAGAGCACCTGTGCAGCACGTGCGAACAGTGAGCTCCTCTCCCCTCTGGAGCAGCGGTATGAAGACCAAGTTTGAAGGCTTGAATGGGAGACTCCACTTAAAAAGGCACAAGGTAAGAACAGCTGTGAAGAAAATAAAAATAAAACGCACACATCAGGTCTGTTGTTTGAAACAAGTATTGAGTCGGTTCAGGCTGGTGGAGGTAGAGGAGGGAGCAGGAAGGACTGCGGCGGATTCACTTTGCACCGTGCGGTTTTTTTTAATAGCGTTGCACAGTTCAGTTTACCTCGGTATTTATTTTTATACAATGGCAGGAGGTCTTATTGATCTTTGTCATGAAAATGAGCGACTTACTTTGAAGAATTAAAAAACGCAAATTGTAACGTTACAGCTCGAAAGCACTTAATATCTTTGAAGTGGTTGGACGCGCTGAGCTTTCCTCGAGTTTTCTGAATTATCCGCTGTTCTTCCACTTAGCTTTGATAGTTAACTGTTGACACACATAAAGGTCGTGCGTTTCTAAATGAAGTCCCGGACACGTAGGGGATACCAACAAAGTATTTATCGTTCAAAATTGAAGTTAATTTATGTTAACGTCGCCCAACTGTGATCCTTTATTCCTACAAAGTACGATGAAATGTCTCCGTTAGCGACATATCTCAGTATAACAGCGTCAACTCCAGTGTTGATTTGGACACTTTCAGGGTTTATTCGGTAAAGTTACAACGTTTGCTACTCCTGTGCATGAAGAGTTTTGTGTTGCAACTTCATTTAAGAAATATATTTTCATATTTCATGCAAAATACAGACACTTCTTGTTTTGGGATTGGAGCAGTCAAAATGTATTTTTATTTTTAAGTTAAATAAGTTAAAAAGTTATTTGTGTTAGCAAATATGAAAAATTCAGTTGTTTCCCTGACAAACTGGATTGACTGAACGCCCCCATTATATCCAATATAAATATTTTTTAAGCAGTGCATTGTGTGTTCCTTCTACAAATGAGGGAGAAGAAGAAAAATAGATACAGTTAGATGCTGTATCACAAATTGTCCTCCATCAAAGACACATTGGCACTGTATCACAAGAGCTTATCTTTCTCAGCATTATAAAGTGGGACAACTTGCTGGGAAAAAAATACAGTTTTGCATGAGACAGTTGTCCTTGATCCCCCCCCCCTCAAAATATGATGCATTGAATTTAAGTCAGAAATGACATGATCGCTGCTGTCTCACATTATGAAAGGGTTAGTGTGGATTTCAGAGGCTGCTGCAGCACAAGTGTTAACCAACCAACCAACCCTCTATCCCTGTAGTGTCCAACAGCTGCTATGCCTCACTCCATTGCATTCCACATAAGCCAACCGTGCACAAATGTTGTAACCTTTCCATTTCATTAGATGGATAGAGTGCATCGAGCTGAACTAGACAGCTGTAGCTCGCCTTAAACTGCTGGTGTTCTTTAGTGTGAAAGATTTTGTTATACCACTCTGACCAGTAGGTGGACCAGCACAGCGCACAATTAGTTTTTTAAAGTCAGAGGAGCCTAACAAGAAGTGCTGTTTTTAGAAGTGATGTCGTCTTTAAAAATGCTACAGTCCGAGGTTGCCTCAGACGTCTTTTATGATAGCAATGGAGCACCCAGCGGATCTTCATTGTCCTTGTGCTGGAGGGTAATGCAACGTGGGGCATATCATAGCCTATGGCAGGCAAAATCTAACCTCTTAGCTGATACAGAGGCCTCACCTTACACACACACTCAGCAGCCGCAGGTTGTTGGCTACCATTGTCAACTAGATGGCAAGGTGGAATATCTAGTTTCCACCATCTTCTTGTCCGTACTCTGCTGAGGGTTGTCCTGCAGGAATGCTGTTTGTATAAATGAGGAGGTGACCGGCGTAGAGCGATAAAGCGTGGATGAGATGTTACCCCCCCCTTTCCTTCTCTGTTACTACTGTAACTGAACTATATTTCAGAACAACAGTGGAAAACCACTTTTACTTTACTGCTAACACCGTACAAACCTGGCAACCAGCTCTTGGTACTGTGGTACAGAAAGCAGAGCTGGTAATGATCAATGGCAACAACCAGTGGGTCGTTGCCTTTGCTGTCAAACACTCTCTTTGGCACTTGCAGCATGTACAGTGGGTGTATAACTGCTACTGTCATTTAGGAATTCTGGAATTCCCCCCAAAAAAGATTTAATAACTTACATTTTAAATTGTGCATCATTTAAAGACAAAAAGATGATGGTTTTATTACTATTGTACCAGAAAGTGGTTCATGTACATTAGCCCTGAACTTTTGTTTGCTCTGCATTACACTATAGCAAAGAGCAAACAAGGAGGTTGAAACAACATTCACTATAGTATATAAATTCTATGAAATTGATAGTGTTAAGAATCAGTCATTAGTCATCAATATTAGGGAATTAATTTAATAGTTTGTGGTACAAAACTGTCGCAGTAAAAGAAATAAATCAGTTTGTCAGTCTTGTAACATTTAAGATCTTCTTAGCAGTGATTCTTTGTGCAACCATTCTTATACTTTTTTAAAAAACTGTATCTTACTGTTATGTGAAACACTGTTATTAAGTCCCTAAAATAGATTTGGCGTTCATCCTACACCAATGTAATTAGCCTTTGCATTGACTGATACCAAAAGAATGTGTTCCAGGCTATGGGTTATTTCTGGCCCTCTCATGCTGCCTGGGGTTTCTCGTCCTTGTATCAGTCCACCGTAGGACCTCAGCTGAACCATTTGTCTACCCCCATCCCCTACTGCTTTCTGCGCTCCAAAACCAACCTCAAGAAACTAATACTGACACTGCTGGTTTGACCTCTTAAGCCTGAGCAGCACCGGCACATTGAGGCACAGATTTATGCTGTGATCTGTTGTTTCTCTTGTCTTCATGGTGCGCTTTTTTTTTTGTGTGTGTGCATATATTAGTGCTTGTGCCTAAAGGTAACCCGTCACAAAGAGCTGTGCTATTGTGACAGATACTAAGGTACATGTCAGGGAGAGTGGATTAATGGAGACAGAAAGACACAGGTCATACAGATCAGTCTGATTTCCATCTCCTAGCAAGAGACTTAGAAATGTTTTTTTCCTTTGAGAATAATGCTGCACCACATAAAAGGATACACGTGGTCTTTTCATTTATTTTTTCTTTCAATATTTAGTTTTGAAACTTCTCTTAAAGCAATGAAAAGACTCAACAACAGGTTACAGACAAACGTAGAAATGTGCAGGTCAAAAAGGTATTTTATGAGTCTGAGATGCAACATTGTACTGTTTCCTTACTCTGTATTTCTTCCATTTGAAAGTAAAAACAACAGGGTTTTGACCACTGCACCAGCTTGACATATTTACCAAAGTAATCAAGTTAGCCTTGTCTTCTGTTAATGCAGGTATTGCTTTAACCCTCTGCTGCCTGTTAGTCTGTATCCCCAGTATCCTGTCCTGCCCTGTACAGACTCTGTTACACATTACCTTTCAGAAAGATGTTATCATCCCAACCATCCCCCACATGGAGCCTGTCACTGAATGACACAGCCCACAACACAACCAATCTGCTGGGCTGGCTACTCTGTACAACCACATGCCTTCTACAGTGTACTAAGTTTAAAGTGCAGTTTGGATCCCTGTGCGAAGTCCATGATAAAAGAACAGTTTGTTTTATAGTATTGGCGGCCCTCCCGGACTCATTACTGAGCTAAAGACACCCTCTTTGTGTAAGTGTGCTTTGTGTGCACATTTCCTGCCTTCCAGCTTAGAGGAAACTATATCAAAAAACAAAAACAAAAGGAGGGAAATTAAAGCAACAACATTAACAAAAGACTTGAGGCTGAACAAATTAGTTGATTATTAGTACACTACTGTGTCAGAGCAAGGATGACTGTTTTGGGAGTCATTGTGTTAAAAATATCTTTATTGTGGGGGATCATGTTTGGGTAGGAGGGATCGTTTTGCCCCACTGGGCCAGCCTCGTGGGCAGCAGATGAGCTGTGTGTGTGTGTGTGTGTGTGTGTGTGTGTGTGTGTGTGTGTGTGTGTGTGTGTGTGTGTGTGTTTTTTTTTGTGTGTGTGTGTGTGTGTGTGTGTGTGTGTGTGTGTGTGTGTGTGTGTGTGTGTGTGTGTGTGTGTGTGTGTGTGCTCTGCTGAGCTGTGAGCAGAGCAGCCCCGCCAGCCAGCTTGCTCTAACTGTGCTCTGCACACACTCCAGCCCAACAGCTTGTCTCTTCTCTCCACTCCAGATGATGCCTTGGATTTAGCTGGCCCACATGAGTGATATGAATAACACGCTGGACGAAATACACACTTCTGGAAGCCTCGGAGAGAAAGCAGAGATTTTTCACACTGGCAAGGGTAATGTGAGTGGCTTTCCCAACCCAGCCCTCATCCCTTTGCGAGCTCCTTTACTAATACCAAATGCCCAGAAGATCAGGACTACGCTCTGCAAGAGGAACAGGTATGACTTTTCTTTACACTTGCCATGAATGACACCAGTCTGTTTATAAGATTCAGTTAAGATAAATTCAATTGCACTAAAACTGAAAGTAGTACTACTCTCCACTTTACAAGCTGCCTTGCAGAAGAATAATACGCTCTTTGTATTTGCAAGAGTGAGACACAGAGGTCTATTTGAAAGCTGTAGTGTAGACTTTGTACCTGTAAACACAATTGGCTCGACCCAAAAGCAGCTGTCAATGAAGTGTAATGTACTATTTCAACAGTGCAGTTAAAGACCTGGAATCAAATCAAGCACCTGTTAGTTTGTGGGAGATAATTAGTAACTCAGTAACTGCTGTGTTTACAGAGCAGTAAAGAAAGCATCAGTCAGAGAACAGAACCTTTTAGAATCTGAGGCCTTCTCATCTGCAAGTGCTGAAATCTAACTATCTGACCTAATGATGATGAGAATGGGATACGGTAATATAGTATTTTTTATTACTGATTTAGATGTTAGTTCACTGCAAGGGCTAAACATTCTCATATAAGAATGATCCATTCCTTATGGATTGCAACTGATTAGATATAAGAATATAGATTATGACCAAAATACTGTTTTTTTGCTTAATTTAGCTTAATTTCCTCTCGCCGGCAGTTGAAGTGCTTTTTGTGTCTATTAGCTACTACACTATAGTGGTGAAATCAAATATCAAAAGTCTGATGGTAATGGGATGTGTTGTCTGGTAGTTGAGAGCGGGAGGGGTCCACGCAGAGACAGCCTTGTGTTTCTGTCAGATCTGTCACTTTGTTTATCACCTGCTCCATTTATGCTCCCTATTCCTCGACATGGGACACGTGCAACAGAGGAACCAGCAATATGCTGTAACAGCTCTCTAAGCTACAGGTTGTGAAATCAGTCTAGCATAAAGTCTAATACATCATTTACAATTTTACGACTGACTCTTACAGGCAGAATAGGGAGACAAGTGATCTATTGTTTGTGTTAATCATTTGAATAGTGTGATTTTCCACAGAAAAGAATAATGAAATAGGGTCTTAGAAAATCACAAACTGTAAATTCTGTATCTGCTTGATCCAACATTTAATTTGTGCTCCTGTATACCAGTGTTATCAACTCTGAGACACTATGGAAACATGTTTTTTTTTCTACACATTGGCCACAAATTCAGACCTACCTACATGCATACAGACATACCTTTGAAAACTCATAGACAACATCAAGATAAACAAGATCTGAACTATGCTTGCCACATTTTATACAGTGTCTGTTTTTTTTTCTCTCTCTCTCTCTCTCTCTCTCTCTCTCTCTCTCTCTCTCTCTCTCTCTCTCTCTGTGTTTTGTCCTTCAGGAGCAATAAAGAGGGAGAGGAGTCATTCTCTTCCCCTGTTCCAAACCCTTTCCCTGAGCTTATCCCCTCAACCATCTCCCCTCTTGTCTCTGAATGTTTATTACCATGGACCAAAAGTAGTGCAACTCAGGTGAGTGTTCCATTTACAGTACTTGAGGGTGTTTGCGATACAAAGAGGCATATTATTTGAAAAAAGAAGGGCTCTGTTATAAAGTTTTTTTTTTTCCATATGTTACCCCAGGCAGCATAGTCATGCTAACTTTAATTGGAACTAGTGCCAGAAAAACAACTGCAGGACATATTTAACTAATGCATATTTACATGATGCTTGGCTCTTGATTTGTCTGAAACTTCAGGGCATATGGACCGTAGAACCAGTTATGTGAGTATGTAGATTAGTTGCAGTGAAGAGATAAAAATGTTGTCAGCACACTCAAACAATCCAACACACACACACACACACACACACACACACAATGTTATTACTTTTGAGAGCCAGCGTTTGTACCTGCATACAGTGGCCACTAAACGACAATACATGTGATGTGTGATACCACCTTTTAGACATTTCATTTGAAATTTGATTAGAACTCCATGGTTTACCCAGGAAATACCTGGCTTCGTGCCCAACAGCCACTCTTGTACGTTTGTTTTAGCATAGGGTGTGGGATTTGTCATGTACTGAATGTGGGGAAGTACCTGCTGGTGCTGGAAAAGCTTTCACTCCAGTCTAGATCTTGAGACAATTTTGGGAGTTTTGTTTACATGGAATATGTATTTTTATTTTTATTTTTATTTATTACTTTGGTCACCAACTGACTGTTTCCTTAGCCCCGCCCCTCTTTGTTACTGTTGCTACACATGTCAAGCCTTCCATGTATATATATGCATGGCACATATACAGTTGACAGTGATAATGGTGCCACATTAACCTCTCAAAATCTATAATAAGTTTGGAAACAACAGGTCTTAGTGATTGTTGATTTTGTTTGCTGAAACCACAGTTGTCGCTAGCAGGTTTAATCATCTGTAGCTATCTAATTACATTAATGCTATCTCCGTTAGTTAGCCGAAAAATATGACTCCTGCTGACTTCTAACTGTTTCCAGCTGAATCATTAAAAACAATAACCATGTAAAATGTTCTGTATACTTCCCCAAACTAAATCATTCTTATATAGTAGCTTCGTGGCTTCCACAAGGTGGATGTGTTAGTACTGGCTTTTAAATTGTAACTTGTAACCACACATAATAATGAAGTTAGTTAATTGTTCCCTGGCTTTGGAAGTTGTCACTGTTGGTAGTAAGCTAGTTAGCTGGACATGCTAACATTTGCAACTTACGTTAGAGCAGACAAATGTCTTGTTTAATGCATTTCATCCACTTTTGCTCTTGTGTTTCTGTTTTTGGACAAAAAAGACACTACACTCCAACACAAATTCTTTCTGAGTTCTCGTTACTGAGAGCCGCTCACTACGCTATGACTGGACGATGGCTGGTCGGAGGGTGAGGGTTTAGTGATGGTCAGTTACCAGTGAAATAAAACACAAACATTTTAGTAGACTTAAATATGTTGTATTTATTGCTTACTAACTTATGAAAATATTAATTTACAAATTAGACCAATTATGTTAATTCCATATCGCCATAGTGTTGTACAGCTATTGTTGCTTGCTGTTACAGTCTAATGAGTTTTGTTCAGTCTCCAACAACTTGCACAGTCGTAATTTGGGTGATTCACAACTCATGATGAATAACCGTTTACTTTATTTCCCTCTGGTCTTTCAACCAATAAGAGCAAGTCAGATAAAATGTAATATTATGCACAGCAAAATATTATTTAATTTGAGCCTGCGATCTGTAGTTGGTTTGTACATTTATACAGAACTCACTGCCAATTTCTAAAACGAGAGCACATTCATTATGTTGGAAAGCTAACAATTATGGGTCTGCTTCAAAAGTGCATGGGTTTCATAATGGATTTTGTCTATACATTTTCCAGGGCTGTTAAATTAGTCTGGTTTGTCAACCACTAGATGTTTCCTGGATGTGGATCCTGTGCTGTATGCTGAAGTTGATTTCAGGTTTTTCAGTATCTTTGTGGTGTGTGTGTATAAATGTGTGTATTTGTGCACGCATGTGTAGCAGCAGGGGGCAGCTCAAAGCAATGACTCATAGGAAAGCTTGAAATTACAGAGCTCAGCAGTTACCAAGGACTATCGGCAGTATTAGACCTCTCTGTGCTCATGTGTTGCTTTCATGCTGAGACAGAAAAATACATACAGAAAGTTCTTTTCTGAAGCTTCCATTATAATCTGTAGTATGTGTGGTTGGTATAAGAGTGTAATCAAATTTGTATTTGTTCCTCTGCATGCATTGCAGTAAGCTTGCTTGATTATCCAACACTGGAGTGTCTCCACTTATAGAAAGTCTCAAATGAGCCCTTCTACTTTATTTCATCCTCACTCAATTCAATGTTTCACATTAGAAAATTACAGAGCGATTGCCAATTCTCCTGTGCTCTCAGCAGCCTATTGTGAAGACAGGTCAGGGATTTGGACAGATTTGGCTTCTCATTGAAGGAGCCAAATGACACCCAGTTGACCTCACTCTGTGACAATGTGGCTTCCTTGTTAGCAAATCTTAAAGTGATCCTTATGTATCTCACTGATGAGGCCTATGCCTGCGCCCCATGGGCCTGACAGCCTCTCACTTGGTCTTTTCAGCAACGCCACTGGGAAGACAAAGAGAGTATGTCAGACTGACCAGCTGTTTTTGTGTTACAATCCTCATGTCACAGGGTTATGACCTTCTTTCAGTAGCACTCAAGAAACCAATGACATCATTGTTCCAACTGTGCACCACTCGTCCCCTCACCCACCCTTCTAACTTTTCTATAAAGGAAAATTGTCCATTGAGCTCCCCAGTGTGTCCTTTCGGGTAGTAATTTTCCCATCAGTTACAATTATCTGAAAATAATAATCCTCTACTGAGGACAGGCTTAGATTATAAAATGAGCAGACTAGGAAAATGGCAGTGGCGTCTGTCGTTGTGGCATCTCAAACAACTCAGCGTCTGCTGTAGCTGACCATGTTTTCCTTTTTACTGCAGTTGATTTGAATAGCTTTGCTGAATTGTGGCAAGATCCTTCGCTCAACATCGCTTTGTTTTTCACAGGCTTCAAAGCTATTTCACTAATGAGAAACTGGTTTGTCTGTTAGCCCTGTGTTTGCAGTGTCACAGTACATTTCCATAACAAAACCAAATCATGACTGCCACATTATGTCAGTGAGAAATCTATATTATCTGTTAGCACACCAGACTCCCAAAAAATACATTCCTTTTTTTTTTTTTATGCCTTTTTATTTTGATTGAACAGGTGAAGATAGAAGTCACTGTGTTGTTAGGTAAATGAAAATGCATTGTTATACGTACAGCAGGTCAATAAAACCGTTATTGTTGGGACAGATACGTTTGCATGGCGAATACATTATGTGTCCTATACTACCTCAGCTGTTTGAGACACACAGCTATGATATTAGAGATTACTTAATGAAACAAAATCCTCAGCTGCACCATGTCACTGCAGCACACAATGTAGCATGACATGATGCTATAGGATTGAGAAACCTGTCATGCTACCAGCTGCTCAGTCGTGAAGACAATACCATGTTGATTTTGTTGATAACAGCCTTGAACGTACCATCATGGAAGAACTGGCATATCTTTATGATACAATGGCAAAAGAAGCTGGCACAGCCTCCACTCACATATAGTGGGCAGTCATGCTTGGACTCTTACCAGAAACTAGAAGCACACAGACAGCCTTCATCCAGACGGTGTTGAGTGCTCAGTTCAACCATATGACTCAGAGGAAATGCCTGCCCCTTTAGAGATGTTATTTCAGATGCTACATGCACAATGTTCGTGTCCTTCACTCTGAGTTTTCTGCCTCTCCTCTACAGCAGATGCAGTAGGGTTCTCAGGGTCACACTTAACAGATATAAAACATTTATTCATGTCTCTATTCAAGTACTTAATTTGTCAGAAAGCTGCTTACTGACCTAACGGCACTACGCTGATGCTAAAACGCCCAGACTCCAGAAAATAGCAGTAGTTTTTTTATTTTATTTGAAACAATACATTTTTTTATTCTGATTATTCATAACACGCTAATTTAAATAATGCAGTTATGAATTATAATGCAATACTTTAATGTGAGAATCAGCGGAATTATGCTCTGTAACCTCTCTTTCATTTCTTGTGCCTAACAGACATTCTGTGTTATATATAGGAAAGTCATCTGGTGCATGTGCGGCTCGTATATATTTCTCTCTCTTACCCTTTCAGACTGTCATATGAGATAAAATGATGTTTCTTGTTGGCCTGAATGGTTCAACTCACATTGTCTGGTTTTATGACCCTGCTTCTTTCCAGGTGTGATGTAGGTTTCACACCGCTCTGCTTTGATATACTGTAAAAGAGTGGGTTAACAGAGATTTTCATAATAAGCAGAGGATTACTGTATAAATATTCTTCTATGGTTTAACTGTGATGTGTAAAATTAAAGCTGCAGACCTGGGCTGTGTGTTAACAGCAACCTTCAGGAATTGAACTGTGAAAGTAGATATGAATTAGTCAAACGCACGGTGTCGTAGCATCTCTCTCTAACACCCGCACCCACAACACACACATAAATAGACCGTGTTCACACTCTTTTCTGATTCTTATCAGAACCAGACAGCGCTAAATACCGTGTGAATACAACAAAAAATGCAAGCTTACTTGCATTTGGTCCAAGTGTCAGTGGTGTAACAAAAGACCTATACTTAAGTACAATTATTTCCATTTTATGGTACTCTATGCTCTGCTAAATTTGATTTTGAATTTGATTTTAAGTTTCAATATCCGCACCTGTTCAGATTTGAAAGGCACAAGATCAACAACACTTGTGAATCCTTGTATGGCTGTGGCTGACGTTGTAAAAACTTACATTAGTATTACATCTGTATCATAATCTCCTTTTGCAAATGATTCTCCCTCTACAGTAGCTTAGTTTGTGGTTGCTGGCAGTTTTATGGCTGCCAGGCTGTTATTTTTTTATTACATGTTTGCTTCCTGTTGTTGTTGT